CTGAGTAGCAAAGTCTGCGGGGGCAGCCAAGTTCACTTAACACCTGCATTATTCACACAACACCTGCAGTGATTCGCTTCAGAACTGTGTCCAAAAGGTGGTAAAAATGGGGCAAAACTCACTTAAGATTACCTAACTTTGCAGTGGAAATTTGGGGGTCAGCTGTGGCCGTAAGTCGAGGTCTGGCTGTATAGACGCTGAGCTAGAAACATTCCATTTGTGAAGGATGAAGCTTTTGCTGTTATGCTACCACTGGGAACATATATAACTGTGGTGGCAAACCTGTGGCACGTGTAGCCATTTCCGAGGGCACGCAAGGTATTGCCCAGTCAGCTCCAGGCCACATGCACACCCTGGCCAACTGATTTTGACCTTGATTTTTGGCCGTTTTTTGCCCTCCGGAGGCTTCAGGACGCTTCCCTGAAACCACTGATGGGTGAAAAACAGTCCAATGTGCAAACCGGAAGTTGGAAAACAGTCCGTTTCTGGCCTCTGGAGGGCCTCTGTGGGGGTCGGGGGAGGCTGTTTTCACCCACCCAAGCTCCTAGAAAGTCTCTGGAGCCTGGGGAGGGTGAAAAACAGACTTACTGGGCCCACCGGAAGTCGGAAAACAGACCATTTCCGGCCTCCGGAGGGCCTCCCAGGAGGTGGGGGAGGCCATTTTCGCCCTGCCCAGGTTCCAAGAAAGTTTTGCGCACATGTGCGGGGCAGTGGTGTATGTATGTGTGTGTGTAACATGTACATGCACAGGGGGCATGGCACCGGTGTGTGTGTGTTAAATTATGGGCACGCAAGTGTATGCGATGGCATGCGTGCATGCTTTGGGAACCCAAGGCAAAAAAGGTTTTCCCGTCACTGATATATAAGGTTGATCTTGGAACTGGTATTTTTTTAAAGAGGTCACGAACCATTCTGAGTGAATATTGTGTTACCGCCTGTTCTTTCGGAGTCATGTTTCCCACCCACCCCCCACCCTCAATTATGAAGTTAGCCAGTGGAGACTTTCAAAATAAATACGATTCCAAGAAAGACAAGATGAAATATGATGGACACCCCAGCTTGTTCCAGAAGTAAGTTGTTGTAAGATGAAATGCTGGAGATATAAGGACACCTCTCATTCCTGTCTTTTCACAGGGAGCATCCCGGGCCCCATTGCTTTTGGGTCGATGATTGACAAGTCGTGTCTTCTGTGGCAGAGTCAATGTGGTGAACAAGGATCTTGTTATGTCTATCAGAACTCCTCCATGAGTCGGTACACCCTGATCGCTGGTCTGATATTCAAGGTAATTCCGGATAACAGCACCACAATAGTAGACTTTTATACCGCTTCATAGTGCTTTACAACAGGAGTCCCTAATCTTTGTGGCTTGGCAGCCTGGCTGGGGGGAGAGAGGAGCCCACCACTCATGCGGCTGGTTGTGAGTAGACCACAGCCCGATAGTAGGCTGCGGCTCACATGTTGAGCACCCCTGCTTCAACACCCTCTGGACTGATTTACAGAGTCAGCATAATTCCCTCAACAATCTGGGTCCTCTTTTTCCCACTTCGGAAGGATGGAAGGCTGAGTCAACCTTGAGCTGGTCAGAATCAAACTACTGGCAGTGGGCAGAGTTCGTCTGCAATATGGCATTCTAACAGGGGTGGGTTCCGGCAGTCGCTACTGCCGGTTCGCTTGTGGGTGTGCCACGGACGCATGCGTAGTGCAATAAAAATTGCTCTGCGCATGCGCAGAAGCCAAAATAAGATGGTGGTGCCGTAGGCCCTGCCCAGAGAACCGGTTCGGGGGTGTGGCAGGCCTGGGTTGCTGCCGGTTCCAGCGGCCCAGGCTGCCAAACCACTACTGGTTCAGCCAAACCGGGCCAAACTGGTAGGAACTCACCACTGCATTCTAATGACTGCACCAGCATGGCAATAGAATAGAATAGAATTTAGACTTATATACCGCTTCATCGTGCTTTATAGCCCTCTCTAAGCGGTTTACAGAGTTAGCATATTACCTCCAACAATGTGGGTCCTCATTTTACTCTGCAGTGGGCAGAGTTAGCCTGCAATACTGCATTCTAACCACCAAAGATCCTAATTCTGCTCCTATCTCCACAGCTTAATTAATGTTAAATAAAATGTCCCTTAAGCTGAGCTGCCATGTAGATTTTGGCGGCTCATTTAAGAAGACCTTTACACAAAACTTTTCTACAGGTAGTCCTCAACTTACAACCATTCACTTAGTGACCATTCGAAGTTACAACAGCACTGAAAAGAAACAGCTTATGAGCATTTTTCACTTATGACCGTTGCAGCATCCCCCACAACTCACGTGATCAAAATTCGGAGTCATGGCAGCTGGCACATTATCTATCTATCTATCTATCTATCTATCTATCTATCTATCTATCTATCTATCTATCTATCTATCTATCCATTTATCTATCTATCTATCTATCTATCTATCTATCTATCTATCTATCTATCTAAATTATCTAGCCATCTATCTCTGTCTGTCTGTCTGTCTGTCCGTCCATCCATCCATCCATCCATCCATCATAATTATCTAGCCGTCTGTCTCTATATCTATCTATCTATCTATCTATCTATCTATCTATCTATCTATCCATCCATCCATCCATCCATCCATCCATCCATCTATCCATCCATCCATCACCTCTGCCCTATCTACTAAAATTATATCTATCCAACTGTGTAATCTGTATCTTTCTGTCCATCCACCCACAGTATCCATCCATAATATCCATTCATCCATCCCCATTATCCATCTGTCCATTCATCCATCCCTGCCCTATCTATAGTATCTATGTCCATCTATCTATGTTGTCTTTTTGTCTGTCTGTGTCCATCTATCAGTTATCTTATCGGTTTTTCTATCATCTGTCTTATTTGCTGTAATTATATCCAGCTAGCTGTGTTGGATATACCGTATTTTTCGGACTATAAGATGCACCAGTGTATAAGACGCACCACGATTTCGAAGAGGTAAGTAAGAAAAAAAAGCTTTTGCCTTCCCTCAGCCCCCAGCAGCCTTCTGCAGGCTTCAGCAGGGCTGGGGGAAGGCAAAAACGCCCTCATTTTTTCAAAAATGGGATGCAGGGGTGGGACTTCGGGAGGCCAAAAATGTCTGCATTTGGTTTATAAGACGCATCAACATTTCCACACTCTTTTAGGAGGGAAAAAGGTGCATCTTATACTCTGAAAAATATGGTAAATGTTACCTACACTATATACCTATCTATCCATTCAGCTGTCTATACATACATACATACATACATACATACATACATACATACATACAATGCACAATATCAATGTTCATCTATCTATGTTGCCTATTTAACTCTCTACCTATCCTTTATCATCTACTGCATATAGTATATCTGTCCATCAGCTACTCCCTATCATCCTCTTTATATTTCCATTTATTCATCCATCCATCTCCTGTTCTATGGAAGAGTGGCAGGCAGAGAAGATCAACCGTATAACAGGCATTAGATTTTTAATAAATAATCCACAGATACTATAATATTTGGATTTTTTTTACAGTCTTCCAGAGAGGTTACTACTCCTGAACCACTTTTGGAAGTATACAGACACTGCCTTATGCTCAATTCTGACCACTAAAGTAAATGAATGGGATGTGGGGGAGGGGGTCAAGACAGATATTACCGTAGAGGTATGAGACATTGATACAGTAGGTGCCCAAGGATGCTGTACACTCATGGCTGACATAGCAAC